CCCCCCCCGCCCCTACCTCTTCAACTTAGGCTGAAGTGTCTGAATGTAATAACGTTTCCTAGTACGAAGGGTTGTCAAAGTTTGTCTTTGTTTGGAGGGGGTATTGATCTTAAAACATTAACCCTTCTGTAGATCTAGGGCTGACCGCATACAAAGCCTAATGTAAAAAAAAAAAGCAACAACAAAAAACAACAACAACCCATTTCAGCTTTATCACCTGTGAACTTTGCCGACAACAAAACGACAACGTTCTAAAAACCTAGGCCCTCTCTGGTCTACAAGCGCAGATTTGTAAGACACATCAGGAAGCAATCTAATGTAAATTTTTTAGGTGTTTACAAATCAAGCCAACAAAAAGCCTTCAGAGCAGATATCTATATATATTACATCTTGTTTCATTTTTAGATGTTTACAAATCAAACAGACGAACTTTTAAGCCACCAAAAAGCCACCAAAAAGCCACCAAAGCTGTTACATATGGCATCAGTGTTTCAGTGATATCGCCATTTTAGCAAGGGCGTTTTAAAAGAACATCGTTTAAAAGACAAGATGGTTCAAAAGCACGACAAGTTATTTTTATGGCTCTTTTATTTTGGAACAACGAAGAAGGATTTTGTTTAAAGCCAATTTTTAAGCTAAAAAACGGAAGTCAATATTTATTATAATTCTTGTGAGAAGAGCTTGCCATAGAGTTCTAAGTTGAGTAGAGTTTGCCATAAAGTTCTAAGTAGAGCTTGCTATAAAGTTCTAAGTTGACTAGAGCTTGGATAAAGCTCTAAGTTGAGTAGAGCTAGCCATAAAGTTCGATGTTGAGTAGAGCTTGTCACAAAGTTCTAAGTTGACTAGAGCTTGGATAAAGCTCTAAGTTGAGTAGAGCTTGCCATAAAGTTCTAAGTTGAGAAGAGCTAGCCATAAAGTTCCAAGTTGAGTAGAGCTTGCCATAAAGTTCTAAGTTGACTAGAGCTTGGATAAAGCTCTAAGTTGAGTAGAGCTAGCCATAAAGGTCTAAGTTGAGTAGAGTTTGCCACAAAGTTCTAAGTCGATTAGAGCTTGCTATAAAGTTCTAAGTTGAGTAGAGCAAGCCATAAAGTTCTAAGTTCTGTAGAGCTTGCCATAAAGTTCTAAGTTGAGTAGAGCTAGCCATAAAGTTCTAAGTTGAGTAGAGCTTTCCATAAAGTTCATCAGTTGAACTAGTTGAATATATTGAGAATAAACGCCGACGTTCGAAAATAAAGAAAAACACGTTGTTTTTTTTTCTTTGAATTCTTAATAGTTTTATTTAAAATGTATTTTTCGTTGCACTCTCTCGCCATTATTTGAGATTTTGTGATGTTGCTTTTCAGACGCGACACAAAACACTAGAAGATTTAAAAAAATATATTTGTTCGAATATTGACACAAAAAACTGCTGTGTGTGAGTAATTCCAAATGAGGACTGGAGTAAGAACGCATTAAATGTGTATCCCGTGGACATCAGACGACCGCACAAGGCAATGAACAGCAGTGGCACGCCAACGGTACACCTGCTTGAGTTGACCTCAAGGGAGTCGGTCATCGTCACCTACATTCTCGGCGCGATCATTCAACCCCCGCTCTATCTGCTCGGCCTGATCGCCAACTTGACCAACATCATCGTTTTCTTAAGACTTGGACTAAAAGACAGTATCAACATCTGCTTCCTGGTACTATCCTGCACTGACCTGGTCAGCGTTTTGCTGTTGACATTAGGGGACTGGTGTAAAATGCTGCCTGGTTTTTTTCGGGAACAGTGGCGAATCGACGGACAAAGTCTGTCTTGGTTTCTAGCGTTTTATTACGGCCCGTTTTACGACGTCTCGCAAGGCATCACGACGTTCATCGCAGTCCAGAAGAGCTGGTGTGTCGCGCTGCCTTTCCGCTTTAAAGACACGTTCACTTCTACCCGGACATCAGCCATCTTAACGGTAATGTGTCTGGCAATTTTTTCTATCCACATTCCGGTATTCGCGTCACAAGATCTTATAGAAACGCTCGATCCGGGCACTAACGGTACCCTTGTCAAGTTATGGACATCAGCCATTCGAGAAAAGGTCTTCTCTGCCGTGGGGCTTGTGTCTTTGGTTTTCACCACCACGTGTCAGATGACGGTCATTTTCTGCTTGTTCGTTCTTGCTTCAACCTTACGCGCGTCGTCCAAGTTCAGGAGCTCATCGACGACACCCAATCTCGATCCACCAATTCCCGATCTTAAGAACCATAGAACCAAATTCAAAGATCGGTTTTATAAAAATGCAAAGACTCAGAAGATGAGTTCCAAGAAGTTAGAGACAGATTTCCCTGACAAAGTTCTCGCAAAAAGACTGTGCGAGATGAATACTTCTGAACGCAGAGGGGTCGACTTCGCCGTAGCACCGCCGCTCAGAAACACGTCTCGAAAAGAAGTCCAGGCGATCAAGTCCACTACATTCGTGTCGATTCTGTTCGTCTCGTGCAACACGCTGAAACTGTTGAATTACTACGTTCTGGTGTGCGTCCCGGACTACAGCATCTTCGGCCGTTACCAGAGCGCCTACGTGATGACCAACGATATCAGGATGACGCTGGAAGCCCTGAACATCTCGTGCAACATATTCATCTACCTCAAATTCAACTCGCGGTTCAGGGCAAAGCTTTCGTCCGGTTTGGGGAGCTGCTGTTCACGGGGTTCAACGTGGTTGATGTTCATTAAAATTTGAAAAAAAAAAAAAAAAAACCAAAAAAAAAAAAACCAAGCAGATGGACGAAATAAACTAAGCTTTTTTAAAAAGTAAAATAGTTTATTATTAAAAATTCATAAAAATGTCTATTTACTAAAAATGTTTGATTTCTTAGAAAGGTTAGTTGTTTCTGAATGAATTTATCTCTACTGCACAACGAGGAGGTCTCCACTAGCATGGGCTGCAACTTGAAAATTACAAGTAAATTACGTTATGAAGATTTAAAAACAAAATACCAGTAAATATGTTACTTTATTACTCTCCACTTTTAAAACCCACGAATCATATTCGAACTACGTATTGGGGCTCTGCATGCATGAGGAGCGAAGTGATCCTACAGCGATTAAACAAAATAAAGGGATGAGAAGAAAGAAAAAAAAAACAACGAAGTCTACTCAAGTGAAATAAAAGCTTGAAAAAAAAAAACTTACTTCATCTGGAAATGTAAAATATTGACACATAATGATTTGATCGTCCGTCTTAGATGTAGTTTATGTGTAATCCAGAAAAGAGGAAAACACATTGAAAGGCTGAAACTTTCGATTGTATAACTGTAAAAAAGCCATTATTTTAATGATAATACGATTTTCTGTTAACGAAGGTTGCGCCGGTCGGCGTGGGAGTGCAAAAATTGCCCCTACCCCCTCCGGGCCACCACCCCACCATTTTTTGAACTTCGTATTCTCTTCGATGTTATCCACTTTCTGTAATTAATTTATTTGCAATTCTTTCAAATAGCCGTTTGCGTCACCCTTCGTGATCCATAACGCATAACAAAAAAATAAAAAAATAAATATATTTAGTTAACTCTTTGCAGTCCAAATGCAAGGGGTTAAATCCACTAAAATTCTTTTGAAATGTTGAAATTGGTATTTTGAGTCTCTTAGGCTTTTAACGTGACACATTTAAAACCTTTACATTCATGAAACCTAAAAAAAAAAAAAAAAAAAAACAAAAAAAAAAA